CTCACAGAATTTATTATTTTCAATGGATTTCCGTTCGAAAACTGAAAATTACATGAATTGAGGCGTTCGTAAACCGAGGTACTACTGTATATTTTTTTAAAAATTGCAATAAGTGAGTTGGAAGGGGCCTGCACTGACCATTGGATCCCACCCCCCCCTGCTCAATCCAAATGAAAGCAGATTTGACAGATGGCTGTCCACTTTTTCTCTTGAATGCCGCTAGCATTGGAGCGCTCACCACCTCTCGAGGTGACTGGTTCCATTGTTGTACTGCTCTAACAGTTAAGAGGTTTTTCCTGATATAAAACCTAAATCTGGTTTGCTGTCGCTTAAGCTGTTCTTATGTGCCCTGCACCCTGAGATGATCAAGAACAGATCCTGCCCCTCCTCTTTCAAATATTTGAACAGTGGTATCATACAGAGGAGAGGTAGGATCTGTTCTATCTATGTGTGCATTAGAGTGAAAAGAGTTTGTTCAAGAAATATGCAAAATAGATAAAATGTCAGGCTTTTCTAATAAGTATACACAACAGCCGTTTAAATTCCACTAACAAACAACACAGTGGCTGAAATCCAGTACTGTACTGTAATAAGGGTGTGATCAGATGGCTGAAAATGTGTGTGCATGATTATTCTGGGAAGAGTTGCTTCACAGGGAGGCTGAAATCCAGTACTGTACTGTAATAAGGGTGTGATCAGATGGCTGAAAATGTGTGTGCATGATTATTCTGGGAAGAGTTGCTTCACAGGGAGTCTTCTCCCTATTTGATCACACCCTAAGCTGCAACTAAAGTAGGCCCATTGAATCAATGGGGATTTGGCGCCTACATAAGTGTCTTTAATTCACTGGGGCTGTTCCAGTTGTGACTAACTTTTGGATTTCCAACAACATCTATCTTGTTTCAGACATGAAGCATTCAAAGTGGCCAATATTGTGCCGTATTGTGTTACATACAGGCGTACCTCAGTTTACTAATTTAATGCATTTCCGAGGACATTACGTAATGCGAAAAATCCATTATGAATTTTCCTATGTTTGCCATAGGAATGGGGGCGGCACTATAAACCTCCAGGCACAATGGAGGTTATAGCCTGGGGAAACTTCCTTTGTACTGCGGGGAGGAAAACGTAAACTGAGGCATTATTTTCAATGGATTTCCATTCGTAAACCCAAAATTATGTGAACCGAGGCATTTGTAAACCGAGGTACTACTATATATATTTTTAAAAATGAGAAAACGAAAATAAAAATGAAAGAACCTGACAGATTGTTTCAGTGGTTTTGCTAGACATTTAAATGCAGTGAAAGTGAACGTTGCCAGTTTATTCTGGAGAACAGACATATGAGAGGTGATACAATAACTGTTTCTATATATTTGAGCATAAATGGTGAACAAATTTGTTTCTTGTTGCTCCAGATGGTAGGACTTGAACCAGTGGATTCAGATTACAAGAAAAGGGGATCTAGATTAAACATGAAAAGAACATGCTATCAGCGATTTGATTGTGGAATAGATTCCATCATAATATATGTGTCATTAGAGAGTTTATCAGGGATGTTCTAGTAGCCGTTTCCTATGAGTTGAAATAAATTATTTTTGAGTCTTCCTCAGAAGATGCTCTTCAGATTCTTTAGTAATCAAAAGTTATTGTTGGAAGCAATACTGCGAGCGAGAAGTGTCGTAGATCACAAGCTCAATATGAGCCAACAGTGTGATGTGGCTACAAAAAAGGCTGCATTAACAGAAGTAAATTTTCCAAATCTCGCAAGGTGCCAGTCCTCCTCTATTCAGTACTGGTTAGGCCTCACCTTGAGTACTGTGTCCAGTTCTGGGACACCACACTTCAAGAAGGATGCTGACAAATTGGAACAAGTTCAGAGGAGGGTGACAAGGATGATCAGGCAGTTGGAAACCAAGCCCTCTGAGGAAAGACTGAATGAATTGGGCATATTTAGCCTTGAGAAAAGAAGGCTAAGGGGTGACATAAAGCCTTGAGAAAAGAAGGCTAAGGGGTGACAGGATAAAACTTGAAAGGCCGTCATACAGAGGAGGGGCGGGATCTGTTCTCCATCATCCCAGAGTGCACAACACGCAACAATGGGCTCAAGCAGATGATTCAATGCAGCAATTAATTCTGGTGACAGATTGTGTAGTTTAGTACAGTGGTTCTTAACCTGGGTGATATTGCCCCCCAGGGAGCGATTTCATTTCTCTGGGGGCGATGGAACCAAAAGAGGCGATGTGGGGGTGAAGGAACAGAAGGGGGCGATGGGGGAGTGATGGAGCGCCACTGTCACCAGGGGACTACGTGGCCCACAATTCCGTCTTGGACCCGGATGAGGAGGGGACGGAGGGAAAGGCTGGCGGCATGGCACTGAGCCTCCAGGGTGGTGAGGGCACCTTCTCGCTGCGACCCTTGGGCGGCAACGATGGCGTCTCTTTCCTGTGTGTCGAGGGGCCGCCGGACCAAGGGCACAACCTTGTCCTCCTCATGGGTGCATCGGTGTGAAGTGATCCAGAGGCTGGGGGGGGGATGGAGAAGCATCCCTCACGGCGGGAAACCCACCTCCCTCCCTGAGACACTGACCCCCAGGATCCAAACGTCCAAGGGGGGGGCGAGGGTGGGAATTGGCTGGTCTAGCGGCCTCCCTCCTTCCCTTCTCGGCCCATGCCTAGCCTTTGCTTAGTCACAGTGGGCTCCTCATCCTGAGGTGGGGCTGAAGCCCCCGGGTGGGGAGAGGGTGAAGGTGGAAAGAAACACCCCCCGGAGCCATTGAGGAAGTTATCATTGGCCCCCTCCTCGCGGTGCGATGATAACTTCCTCAATGGCTCAAGGAGGACGTTTCTTTCAAAAAAGTTAAGAACCACTGGTTTAGTGGATCCACCATTGAACTGAGACTCAGAAAATCTGGGCTCAGATCTCTGCTTGGTCATTGCAGTTCAACAGGCCATGACAATGATAAACCACAATACGGACATCTCACATGCCTTGAAAACTTTATTAGGATCACCATAAGTTGAAGGCAACATAACAACACACAACAACAACAGTAGCCCAAATCCTGGTGCTTAGCATAGCGAGTCACCCTATAGTAGGGTTGCCAGACGTCCGGCAAAAGGAGAACATGTCCTACTTTTCAGAATCATGTCCTCTGTCCGGCAGGCAAGACTAAAAAACTTCAAAATATCTGGCTTTTTCTCCTTTTCATACACATGTATCTGGCAACCCTACCCTAGAGGAGGTCCACTTCATCAATGGTGATGTGATGAGTCAACTTCTTCCCTATGTTCCATTGATTCAAATGGGCCTCCTCTACTTGGCACATACTTTAGCACAATACATTGTAGCTAGAGTAGGCCTGTTCGAATCAATGGAACACTTGGAGGAGTTGGCTCACTAAACCCCCACTAATTCAGTGGGCCTCCAGACAGTGTGGGATTGCACCTCCCATCAGCCTTCACCACCATCACGAACAGGAAAGATTGATGGGAGTTGCAGTAGAACAGCATCTTTCAAAGTGGCCACTCTAGCCCTCCTGACCAAGGGTGTGTGTGGGGTGTGTGTGTGTATGTCTCTGTTGCTCCAGGTCCTGCCAGTGTTCCCATCTGAGGAAGAAAAGCAAGGGGGATTCGGGTCCCCTTTCCTGGCCCTCGAACAAGGACAGCTGGGCCGAGGGGTGAAGGAAGAGGAAATAGACCATGAGGATCCCAGCTTGATCGGTAAGAGCTTGAGTTGCCTCGGGATAGAAGTTTGGGAGAATGGGGGAGGTGGAGCAACTCTGATTCTCTGGGATGGTTTTGGACCACAGTTCCCATAATCCTTCAAAATAGGCGGTGCTGACCAAAGCTGACGGGATATGTTGGCCACTCAGAAGGCAGTACAGTATTATTTGTCCACTTCTTGTCTGAGGGCAATTTCCATTCTGTGTATGTCCTCCTTCAAGAACTGCTGGATTGCTCAGTGGCTTATGTCTCTGGCAGCATGGTCGGGGGTGGGGTGGGGTTGGGAGTTCGAATTCCCCACTGGGCCTCCTTGGAAGGGGCTGGACTCGGTGATCCAGAGGGTCCCTTCCAATTCTGCAGCTCTTACGCTTATCATTAAGGTAGCCTGTGTTGTTCCTATCACATCTCTTCCTTCTTCCGTCTTCCCTTATTTCTTTTCCTTCTTGGTTTTAATTCATATTCTTCCTTCACATTAAAAAAAGCAAAGAGGATATACTGTCATCCCCTTACTTAGACTATATTTCTAATATCCAGACCTTAGAAAACGTTCATGTTTTGGAAAGGGATAGAATCGGGACTAGAATTCCCAGTGACCAGGGAATTTGGGGAGTTAATAGTCTAAAAAAGTGATTCCCCCCCCAGCTCTGGTGCTATGTCTCTGTGCCTATTCTGTTTCATTTATTATGCAGTCATTCATCACGATACGTGAATGTCATGCATATATTATGCATATATATACATTCTAAATATGTGTGCTTATACACACACACAACAGACACACATTTAGAAATATTAAGGACCATTTATATGCATGATGCCTTACACCAGTGGTTCCCAGTCCTGGGTCCCCAGATGTTCTTGGACTAAAACTCTCAGGTGCCTTCACCACTAGCACTGCTGGTCAGGATTTCTGGGATTTGTAGTCCAAGAACCTCTGGGGATCCAAGGTTGGGAACTACTGTCTTACATAGTAGAAGAGGAGAGGCTGTCTTGATCACGAGGTATGGAGTTTTCTGAATTTCTTGGACTCTCCATAATTCTCCATTCTGGGAGTTCCTCCTGACGGGTCCACATCGATAGGCACCTAAATATGGCTCGCCTGGGAAAAAGGCCTTAGCTGGGAAAGTCTTGAAGCTTCGCCAGTGCCTAGCTGCGTCTTAGCTTCCTGTTCAGAGAGGAAGTTCTCAGCCAAGCCACTGTCCCCCGACCTCACAGAGTTGCTGTGAAAAAAATGACATCTGATGGCCAAACCCACTCCCGCCCGCTCCTTGGAATCTGGACAAAAATATTTTCAATACAACTGTATATACAACCGTACAGTGGTGCCTCGCTTGACGATTACCCCTCTTCACGATGAAATCACTTCACAATGAGGTTTTTGTGATTGCTATTGCGATCGCAAAACAATGATTGAATGGGGAAAATCCACTTTACGATGATCAGTTCCCTGCTTTGGGAACCGATTCTTTGCATTACGATGATCAAAAACAGCTGATCATCAGGTTTTCAAAACGGCCGGCCCCTGTTTTCTGGACCTATTTCCAGAAGACAGCGACCGAAAATGGCTTCCCCTATGGAGGATCTTCGCTGGACGATGAGGCATTTCGCCCATTGGAACGCTGGAGCCAGTTTTCAATGCATTTCAATGGGTTTCTTCTTTTGCTTAACGACAATATCGCTCAACAGCGATTTTAACGGGTCGGATTATTGTCGTCAAGTGGGGCACCACTGTATATAACTGACTTCTCACATTTTCCCTTTTGTTTCATCCTGCTTTGTAGGTGCTGGGATGACTCTTTCTATGCCTTACGGGTCATCTCCTCTTCTTGGTGCTCTGGAACCGACACAGGTAAGGGCGGAGAACCAGAGCAGGGGCTTCTCAGAGGAATAAGGGATGGGATAGTTTTGTTGGCGTGGGGCCAAAACTCCAGAGGCTTAATGAGGCTCTGGCCTCAAAAAAACTTCTTAGAGTCCGGTTGAATGTGAAGCTTGGCAAGAGCACTCTGTTTAAAAGACAAGACTTGAAAGCTAAGGACACTACAGTGGACCCTCTACTTACGGAATTAATCTGTATTGGAACGGTGGCTGCAGGTCGAAAAGTCTGTAGGTCGAGTCTCCATTAACCTACAATGCATTGAAAATCGATTAATCCGTAACCAGCCTTTTTGTTCCATTTTTGTTCCATTTTGGGTTTTATTATGGTCTCTAGGTTGATTTTCTGGCTGCAAGTCGAATCTAAATTTTGCGGCCAGAGAAGTCTGTAACTTGAAAAGTCTGTAAGTCGAGCCATCTGTAAGTCAAGGATCCATTGTAATTCTACAGAGCCTCTTATCAGATGGCTTCCATTCTTCCCAGTTATACAGCAAAGTAAGAGATTTAGATGTGGGGAGAAAACATCATGAGAGAGTTCTTAGTGGTTATAATAGAGTATATTAGATATGGCTAAACATATATGTACAAGGCAAGATATATTTGGCATAACAACATTCAGAGCAATAATGACATAGAAGCAAATGACCACCAGACTTACTGCTGAGTGGCAAAGGCCTGTTCTGTCTCTGTTACATTTATACCCAGAACAACCAATCACATTTCACCATTTACAGCTGGTCTTGCTTAACAATCAGGCATTACATCAGCTTGTTACACCTGTATGCTATTAGTCATTAGGTTGGCTTTTACTTTATATTCCTGACTTTGCACTTCCATTGCAATATTAAAATTTAACTCCCTGTTCACCAAAAGAACAAAATCCTGACCAGTTTGAGAGCCAGTTCGATACTGGGTTTAGACAGATCGTTTGGGACTACAAATCCTATTGTCCACCCACATCTGGAGGCCCACATACTCCCCATTCATGGCCAAAGTCCAGCAAGTTGGATTAATTACAGAGGGACATCCTCTCTATCCCACACAGCTTGCTTTTGTTCTCATTGTTATGTGCTGTCTAGTTTCCTCTGACTTATAGCCACCACACAAATGAGTGATTTCCACCTATTGTCCACCCACATCTGGAGGCCCACATACTCCCCATTCATGGCCAAAGTCCAGCAAGTTGGATTAATTACAGAGGGACATCCTCTCTATCCCACACAGCTTGCTTTTGTTCTCATTGTTATGTGCTGTCCAGTTGCCTCTGACTTATAGCCACCCCACAAATGAGTGATTTCCAAAAATGTCCTGTCTTCAACAGTCCTGCTCAGCTCTTGAAAACTCAGGTTGATGGCTTCCTTTAGGGAGTCCATCCATCTCGTGTTTGGCCTTCCTCCTTTCCTGCTGAAACTCGGGTTGATGGCTTCCTTTAGGGAGTCCATCCATCTCGTGTTTGGCCTTCCTCCTTTCCTACTATTTTCCACTTTTCCCAGCATGATGGTCTTTTCCTTGAGAATCCTGCCTTCTCAGGAGGTGCTCAAAGTAGAACAGCCTCAGTTTTCTCCTTTTTTTGCCTCTGGAGAGAATTCAGGCTTGATTTGATCTAGGACCCCCCCTTTTCTGGCAGTCCAGGGTATCCACAAAATTGTTCTCCCCCCCAGAAATCCCTTGACCCCTGTTGGAAGTGGAAGATCCTTCTAGTTTTGCCTGGTGAGCAAGAACCTGGAAGATTCTTGTGTCTTTTTTCTGGACAGCAAAGACACTAAAGAATGATGATGACCGTTCTTCCTTCTTCCAGGAGCCAGTGGCCTTTGAGGAGGTGGCTGTGTATTTCCGAGCGGGCGAGTGGGCTCTGCTGGGTCCTGACCAAAGAGCTTTGTACAGGGAGGTCATGCTGGAGAATTTCGGGCACATGGCTACTCTGGGTAAGGATCCTGTTGCCTGCAATTGCCTGGAAGTCATAAAGGCAAGAGGGGAGTGGTTAGAGCTGGGAAAGGTTAACTTTTTTTGTGGGGGGGGGATTCCAACTCCCCATGGTGGCTGGCTGCATGGTGGGAGATGTAGTCCGCAAAGGTAATACTTCTCAGCTCATGTATTTTAACCATCCTGAAATGAGAGAGGCAGGCCTTATTTCCTGTTAAGGACAGCGTCTACATTTTATTCCCCCTTTTTTCCCTGCAAGTGGGATGTTATGATTGAGTTCAGTTAAGGACAGCGTCTACATTTTATTCCCCGTTTTTTTCCCTACAAGTGGGATGTTGTGATTGAGTTCGTTAGGAGACTGAGGCAGATCCTCTTTTTTGGCGGGAAATAACCACGGAGATCCGTTTGAATGGTTAACAGATTTATTCATACTAACATTCGGTGATTCAACAATAACTTCAACAGGATCAAAGCAGCTAAGGTCCGGCAATTGTTCATAGGGAGAAGGTAAAAACTCAAACTGCAACTTAGGAGAGTTTATTGAGGGGCTGGTCCAAACCGTTCTTTGGCCGTGGGCTTCCTCAGAGGAGCGCTCCTCACCGCATATACCGTGCCGCAACAAGGATGCCTGGCCCAGTCTCCCTCCCACGGCGGCTGATTGAAGGTCGAATCGGGTCTGATGCTCAGAGGAGCGCTCCTCACCGCATATACCATGCTGCAACAAGGATGCCTGGCACAGTCTCCCTCCCACGGGGGCTGATTGAAGGTCGAATTGGGTCTGATGACCCTCCTCCAATGACCTCGCCCCCGAGGGAAGACCGCCAGCATCCATTCTTGAGTTTCCATCACAGTCACCTTCTTTTCCTTTTGACCTGGGTCTGCCTGGCCCAGTCTCCCTCCCACGGCGGCTGATTGAAGGTCGAATCGGGTCTGATGACCCTCCTCCAATGACTTTGCCCCCGAGGGAAGACCGCCAGCGTCCATTCTTGAGTTTCCGTCACAGTCACCTTCTTTTCCTTTTGATCTGGGTTCTGTAATACTTAGTCCTCCCACCTTTAAATTGGGAAAGTCTTCTAATAGCCCGCACGTTCTTCCATATCTAAGTTCTTCCACCTTTCTCTCTCTCTTTCCCTTCATCTTTCTTTCTCTGTCCGCCATACACTGAACTCTCTCCTTCCCCCTTGATTTTTTATATCTTCCTCCCACACTGGTAGAATTAACTCCTCTTTCCTTCCTCCACTAAACAGACTTCTACCTTTACTTCTTTCTCCCTCAATTGTTCCCCTTCATTCTCTTTTACAACCAATCCTCCCTTTTCCTTTCTCTCTCCCTCTTTCTTCGACGCTTCTATTTGAGGGGATGGCTCACTCTCATCTTTTTCTCTCTTTCCTATTTCTCTTTCACAGATGTGTTATGGAATTGTGTCGTTCACCATGCTTTAGTTCCTGGCTCCAGTTAGCCAGCCAGCCAGCCAGCCAGGCCCTTCCAGGATACTGTACAGATCTTTTTCTCTCTTTCCTATTTCTCTTTCACAGATGTGTTATGGAATTGTGTCATTCACCATGCTTTAGTTCCTGGCACCCTATTTCTAGCCAGCCAGCCAGCCAGCCAGCCAGGCCCTTCCAGGATACTGTACAGTACTTCATCCCATCCTCCTCCACAAAAACCTGCTAGATCGAGGGAACCACTGGAAATCTTAGTGGTTTAGGGCTCTGCCTGCAGAACCAGAGGTTGGGAGTTCGATTCCCCGCTGGGCCTCCTTGACCGGGGCTGGACTCGATGATCCATAGGGTCCTTTTCCAGCTCTGCAGTTCTAAAATGATGATGAGAATAAAAGCCAAAACAAACCCCTCAGCATACTGAAGCAATCAGATAAATTTGCTAGCCTTGGGCCAAAATCTGATGGAGGTTTTCCACGGCTGTAAGGGCATTCATGGAAGTGCTCCTCACATTTTCCGGGTTCTTGATTGTGTGGCCAGTCATACAACCCATCACATGATTGTACCACCAGAGGTGTCTCCAGCACACCATAGGCAGATAGTAAAAGAGCTCATTGCTTGCATAACTGCCCGGGTTCTTGATTGTGTGGCCAGTCACACAACCCATCACATGATTGTACCACCAGAGGTGTCTCCAGCACACCATAGGCAGATAGTAAAAGAGCTCATTGCTTGCATGGCTGCTGTTAATAGAAGCCAGTAAAACAAACAGGATTTTCATCTAGCTGCTTGTCCTTTCTTTGAACTTCAAAGGTAGCTGTGATGATCGCCCACGTCACTCATGCTATTCATATTCATGAGCTGATTTGCATGAACCTATGAGCGGGGCTGGAGAGGCGGAGTCGGCAGCTACATGAGGCTTGGCAGGAGAAGGAGGAGTCAGACAGGGTGGAGAACAGATACTGAGAGAGACAGAGCTGGTTAGGAAAATACTGTAGGTAGCGAAGGTGGTAATGATATAGCAAGAGAAAAAATGTACAGTATGTATGAGAGGACTGGTGATGATTTGCTTATGTATGATGTGTATCTGAAAAACTTCTGTTATTATCCAATCTGCTTCACTCCAATAAATAAGTTCTGTTTCTGTTCACAAGACAAGTGTTCTGACAAACGTCATTTATATTGTGGATTGAAGTAATCCCCTGGTGGCAGCAAGAAGAAAATGCAATGTGAGCCTTTGTAAGGGAAAGTCAAGCAGGGGCCACAAGGGCAAACACCACAGTAGCACAAATCGCTCCTCACCTCTGTCTCTCCTTCTCTTTTCTACAGGACTTTTCGTGTCCAAACCAAATCTTATCTCCTGGGTGGAAGGAGGAGAAGAGTCATTCTTCCTGGACCCTGAAGGAATAGAAAAGGAGAAAAACACAGGTAGCCGCTAATCTGTGTTTTGACACTGTCAGGGTCCGAGTAATTTAGAATCTCCTGGAAGGGCTGTTGGTTTATCCAAACTTCATTTCTCCATGTCCATGACCAAAGTGAAGACTGACGAACTTCCCTTTTCATATCTTTAATTGTACATCCACTTAGAAAGGGTTTTCCAAAAGGCAGCCTAGAAATACTGATCTAGCCCACATCCAAAGGTGAGCAATGCGTTTATTAGAACCAGCTAAAATTTGACAAAAGTGTGTAAGCTTTTGAGTACTACATAACTCTTCATCAGAATAAGTAGTACAATAAATTAGAAGCGGTATGAAGCAAAGAAGTCCACAAAATTTGGCCACATCTTGTGGCCACAAGGTCTCCAGTGACACTCAGCCATAGTATAATGATTGCAGACAGAGGCACTGCGGCGTTCACAGGAAAACTAACTGTGTTGTTTATATACCACCCCATAACATTTATAGCACTTTGTGGGCAGTTTGCAAATTAATTATTCAAGCTACACATTGCCCACCACCCCAACAAACTGGGTAGTCAGTTTCGCAACCTTGGAAGGAAAGCTGAGTGAACTTTGAGCCAACTACCTGGGACTGAACTTGGATAATGAGCAGAGTTTTGGGTGCAGTATTGCAGTTTAACCACTGCACTGCAAGGTTCCATGAAGGTAACTGTGGAGATGCATTGCTTTTCACACATTCTTTCATTCTCACTAGCCTCTTTCTGTTTTCTGAGATTCTTCCAACCCTTTGCTGGAAAAGAGACCCATCTTCCTGGTTTCCTAATTTCTCTGTATCCCAACAGATGTTGCAGCTATGAATGAAATCAAAGAAGAAAACCTCCCACAGAAGGAAGTCATTGGACTGGATGGAAAACCAGAGATTCCTCTAGAGAGATCTCAGGAAGGGATCGTCTTGAAAGCTCAGGATCAACAGAGTGAGTTATTACAAGGGGCAGCTGGAGCTTGATGGGTGAAACGCTCCCTTTGTACACAAAAAAATTCCAGGTTCAATGTCCAGCATCTTCAAACAGGTCTAGCAAAATCCATAAACCAGCTATCTACTACGATAGACGAAATACAGCCTGGAGGCTGTGTATGTAATTTGTTGATTTGGCATTTCCTCAGTCCCAGGTTAGGAAGAGCCTCATGGCAGAGTGGTTAAACTGCAGTACTGCAGTGAAGACTCTGTTCACAACCTGAATTTAATCCTGGGCTCAGGTAGCTGGCTTGAGGTTGACTCCGTCCTTCTGAGGTTGGTAAATTGAGTGACGTTTGCTGGGGGTGGGAGCAATATGTAGCCTATATAATTAAAATTCTGAATGGCCCAGAGAGTGCTTTAAGTGCTATGGGTTGGTATATAAGCCACACTTTTTGCTTTTACAGCACCCTGGGAGACAGATGTGGGCACCAGTACCCTATCGCCTCTTTTTAAAATCATGGTGTCTCTTCATGTCCCCTTAGGGTTGGGGGGCATTTTGCTACATCTTGGGGCCCCCATGGTACCCCAGATTGGCTTTAAGTGCTATGGGTTGGTATATAAGCCACACTTTTTGCTTTTACAGCACCCTGGGAGACAGATGTGGGCACCGGCACCCTATCGCTTCTTTATTTAAAATCAAGGTGTTTCTTCATATCCCCTTAGAGTTGGGGGGGCATTTTGCTACATCTTGGGGGCCCCACGGTACCCCAGATTATTTTTGACAAAACACTGAAACTAGAGAGCACAAGGGATGCCCCCATTTTTTTGTTTTGTTTAAAACCCCAGTTTTTAAAAAGAAAAAAATATTTAAGCAGGGTGAGAGCATGGCAGATCTGGCTCTCTTAAGATCTAGGGGTAGGCGATTGTAATTCCCAGTTTCTGGAACTTGCACACAGTTGGTGTGGACTAGGGAAGCAGTGCATACCTAGAAGGCTCCATGTGCATCCCCACGCCTTTCTTTTGGCCCCCAGAGGCCTGCGCCATTCCCAGGCAGGGCAAAGGAAAAAAAAGGGTGAAACCAAGAGACCTGCACTCCAGGAAATAGGGAGCCCCTATGAAACAAGGTGCACGCCCCCCTCGCCCTCATCTTGTTTTGACCAGAACAGGCCACTTAGTGGTTTTCTTTTTTAAAAAAAAAATTAAGTGACTTTGGACTGCTTTAGGTTTCAGTTTTCTGCACTTCTTGGCACCAGCAGAAGGGGAAGGATGGATCCCCAGTGGGTCCAGGGAAAGTCCATGGGTCCTAGAAATTGGTGAAGTTGACCACACGGATGTATTCATTGCTGACTTGGACACAAATCAAAGCTTGGCCTTGATTTCCTGTTTGCTTCCTGTGCACGACAATTTGGTCCTTGTTTGGAATTTTTTTCAATTCCATTCCCTCTGCATACATCCCCTCCTCGGCTTTTCCATTCTCCCGATACGATCGGCCATGGTACTCCGTCTACGTTGGGCTGTAGACACTCCATGTCACGGGATAGTTTCCTATTTTATCCTTCAGAAAATGTCAGGGTTCTCCCAAGCCTAACAACGCCTCCCTTCTCTGTAACTGTGACATTGTTTGCCTAGGTAAACAATGGTGCATTTGGCGGGAGGACTGGAAACAGAGAATTCCCTAACTGAAGTTCTCTCCTTTGGGACGGGATGTAACTGAAATGAATAAACAAATTATCTAGTCCGGTGGTTCTCCTCCCTTCTCTGTAACTGTGACATTGTTTTTCCTAGGTAGACAATGGTGCATTTGGCGTGAGGACTGGAAACAGAGAATTCCCTAAATGAAGTTCTCTCCTTTGGGGTGGGATGTAACTGAAATGAATAAACAAATCATCTAATCCCGTGGTTCTCATCCTTGGGTGCCCAGATGTTCTTGGACTACAGTTCCCAGAAATCCTGGCCAGCACAGCTGGTGGTGAAGGCTTCTGGGAGCTTTAGTCCAAGAACATGCTGGGATCCAAGGTTGGGAACCACTGTGTCTAGTCTGAAGTGATGAAACCCATATTGTCCAGTGAAAATGCTGCCTCCTCATTTTGCCTCCATGGTGGATCTTGTGACCTACAGGATTTCCCTTTCCCTCTGACATCTGGAGTGATTCCTCCGTGTTATTCCTCGTATCTTCCCCCTTCAGGTGATGACGCAGCCAGCGAGAAGGAGGGAGGTCCGATTTATCAGGAAGCTTCCTCTATGCCAGCAGAAGCTGATGCTACCTTACAGGGAGATTCCAATGGAGTTGTTTCTACAAAGTCTGAACCTTTTGATCAGAAGTACGAGAGTGATGGGCCACCGTGGCAGCACACGGTGAACATGTGGGGCATCTCCATTCAGAAAGTAGAAAGCGTGGTGGCCAAAAACATCGGCATTGTTCGCATGGGAGAGGAACGACACATGTGCCGCAAGTGTGGACAGACGTTTGAGCATCAGTCAGGACTTATCGTGCATCAGATGATTCACACGGCAGAGAGACCCTACGAGTGTCTGGAGTGTGGGAAAAGCTTCTGCCAGAGGGAGAACCTGCTTGCGCACCAGAGAATCCACTTAGGGGAGAGACCTTACGAGTGCCTTCAGTGTGGGAAACACTTCAGCACCCGGTCCCATCTTATTACGCACCAGAGAATCCACACTGGTGAGAAGCCGTACGAATGCCTTCACTGTGCCAAAAGCTTCAGCAACAAGTCTTCGCTCGTCACACACCAGAGAATTCACACGGGGGAAAAGCCGTACGAATGTCTGCAGTGTGGGAAAAGCTTTTGTCAAAGCGGGCAGCTGATCCGCCACCAGAGAATCCACACCGGAGAGAAACCCTACGCATGCCCCCAGTGTGGGAAATGTTTCTGTCAAAGGGGACAACTCATCCGACACCAGAGAATGCACACTGGGGAGAAACCTTACGAATGCCTTCAGTGTGGGAAGAACTTCAGCAGGAAATCGTATCTTGACATCCATGTGAGAATGCACACGGGAGAGAAGCCCTACGAGTGCCCTGAGTGTAGGAAAAGTTTCTGCCAGAGCGCCCAGTTGATCCGCCACCAGAGAATCCACACTGGGGAGAAGCGTTTTTCATGTTCCCATTGTGGGAAAAGCTTCTTCCAGAAGGAAACGCTGGTCAGGCATCAGGGAACCCACGTCGAATCGAAACCATATGAATGCCCTGAATGTAGGAAAACCTTTCCAAGGAAGGATAAGCTTATACGCCATCAGAAAACCCACACAAGGCTTGATCCAGTGTGAATGTTTATTGTGGGACGGATGTTACCAAATGTAAGGATACTGATGTTAGCAACAGGGGAAGAGTCGGACTGGATCACACCGATAGGGGCCAGCCAGATACTTTGGAAGTAGAGCATAAAAGATCACCTTTGTCTTTTGAAACTTTGATTGATTAGGAGACTATTTTGTGGCCTGTCCGTTGAAATCTAATTAGATCCAGTTTTGCAGCTATTAGAGCCTGTTAAATAATTCCCACACGACAGGAAATCATTTAGAGGGCAAGGGGAGACAGAGCCTATTCCTCAATGGGGCACATAAGTAATTTCATCAGCTTGACTGTTTTTGGAGGGCCTTTCAGGATAATTCCACTAAGCAGGACCCAGGATGTCTGCCCCCAAATCTTGCAGTAATAGTACCACTACTTTCCCATCTTGAAAATATGTGTAAAATATCCCATAAATTGTTCTTTGTTTGTAGTGCTGGGTTGCATACATAGTTCACAAATAACTACCGGTGTCTGTGACTTCTGAGTATCTTCTCAGTGCCTCTGGCGTATCTTAAGCCATTTGGGATGCTCTGTTTGTGTCGATGTTTTGGAAAGATTACAAATCTTGGAAACTGTTACTAGGGGTTGTGTATCAAAGCATTTATCTGTTCAAGAGACAAGGTATCAAGTGAAAATTGTTTGCAAGAATGCAACTTGCTGGTCTACTGAGATTTGGAAGCTCAATGTCACTTTAGATTGAACTTCTGTTTCCTTTCCCTCACCCCTCCAGTCCAATTTGATCTTCTGCTCCAGCTGCTGAAGCCATTGCTCACTTTTGCTCCCTCCTGTACTTTTCCTGCTGCTTTTACCTGCTGGTTTTGCACCCATTTTCATGGTGACATTGCAATACACAGCAATAGTATGTTCCATAGTGACTGCCAGGTAGTGCTGCCATCATGTCTCAAAAAGCCAGAAGTTGTTTTGTGAGCAAGCAGAGAATACTAATGGACAGGTGATAAAAGCCACCTGAAAAACACAAGCAGGTTTCGATGCAGTATTAGATATCCTGGGGGTGGGGTGGGGGAGACCCCTGTCTAGGGAACCAGCCCTTACTTTTGGGCTCTGTAATCCTCACAAAAGCTATCCTTTTCTTGTGGGTGCCATTCCACATGCCAACTAGGCTCCATCAATCCTTGGCAGCATAGGTACGGCTGAGGAACGATGGGAGTTGCAGTCTAGCAAAATTCAGAGTGGCACACCTTGCTTGCTCTCACTTTAGACCTTAAAATGCAAAGTGCTTGGAGTGAGTGGCCATTTTTTACTTATCTTCTCAGGCCTGTTTTAACGACATCTTCCACCCTCCCTTGAACAGGAGCCTGGTCACCAGAGGTGACAAAGCCATGCAGTAAGCAAGTAAGCTAGTGGATGAGGGAAGGGCAGTGTGTTGTCATCCAGGGGGCTGCTAGAGGAAGGGGAACCCTGTCCCCTGAACCCAGGACAGAAATTCAGCAAACTCCTGGAAAAGGCATTAAACTGTCCATCTCGCCTCTTCTAGCACCTTGTGAATGAGTAAATTTTACAGGCAAGTAAATTTTTATGAATTTGTTTACAAGGTTGCCTCAGAATCCAGTGCCTGCTAAAGTAGTATCTTTTAAAAACAATTTGTTTACAAGGTTGCCTCAGAATCCAATGCCTGCTAAAGTAGTATCTTTAAAAATACAGTGGTGCCTCACTTAACGATGATAATCTGTTCCAGGAAAATCGCCATTAAGCAAAAACATCATAAAGCAAAAAAAAATTTCGAAAACATCGTAAAGCGGAAAAAAAACCACAATTTAAACGCATTAAAACCCTTTCAATGCCTTCCAATGGGATCAAAACTCACCGTCCAGTGAAGATCTTCCACAGGGCAGCCGTTTTCGCTGCCTGTCTTGCGAGGAATCCGTCCCAGAAAACAGCATGGAGCCATTTTGTTTACCCAGTGGCCATTTTGAAACCACCGATCAGCTGTTTTAAAATTGTTGTTTTGTGAAGAATCGGTTCCCGAAGCAGGGAACCGATCATCGCAAAGCGAAAAAAACCCATTTAGACCATCGTTTTGGGATCACAATTGCGATTGCATAAAGATCATCATAATGCGGTTTTGTCATAAAATAGGGCAATCGTAAAGCGAGGCACCACTGTATAGATGTATCTATACTGTAACTGCTTTTTACTGCACCTGCGGTTATATTTTTGAGCGCGAGGCACCACTGTATAGATGTATCTATAACTGCTTTTTACTGCACTTGCAGTTATATTTTTGAGAATGGCCACCAATGGGGATAAGAAGACAACTTCCCTTCTCTTCTTCTCTTTCCTTTCCTTTGTCCCCTGAATTTCTCGATTCAGCTACTGGATCCTATGCAGCCAAAGCCTCCTCTTCCTTCCTTCTGCTTTTTTTTGCTTTTTTTTTGGTGAGGCATTTGTTGAACCCAAGTAGGCCACGTGCAGTCAGTCCGATCTTTCCAGATTAGGTACAAAGCTCAAAAAGGGTTCTCCTAATTAGAAGACATCTCCGGAACAAAAGAGGAGGCACCAACATCGTTCCTTTTCTCTTGGATGATGGTGGGGAAGCAGAAAGTCCGACAAGGGTGTGTGCTGATCACAGGCCCTGGGGAGTTTGATAGCAACTATGTCGACTTTCAGTGTGTTTCCACCATGTGTTGCCCTCATTTTACACTAATGATAGGGCCGGCCTAAATGGGAGCCTTTAGTTCACTGCAGAATCTCACTGCTGATGCTGCCGTGTTTGATTCATGTCAGGAGCAGGCCTGTGATGCTTCTGAGTGGAATGATCAGCCAAGAGGGTGCTGTCATTAAGTTGCCAGGCGATACGCTTTGGGATACATTCAGGTTAGGTAAACTTTGCTTTTTAAAAACAACAAATGAAGAGGAAAGAACAAGTAAACGATTACCAGGGTGTCCCAAGCAGCCACACAGGCCACATACAGTGGTGCCTCGCATTACGACGTTAATTCATTCCAGCGAAATCGCTGTAGAACAAAAACATTGTACAGTGGTGCCTCGCATAGCGAGGTTAATCAGTTCCGGATTAACCTTCGCTATGTGAAAACTTTGTTAAACAGAAAGTAAAAAGCCATTGGAAACTCACCGTTTAGCGAAGTCTTCCCATAGCCGGCAGCCATTTTCGTGCCCTCCCCCATTTTGGCTGTTCTGGTAGCCATTTTGGACCCGCCGAACAGCTGATCCGCGGGTCGCAAAGCGAAGGTTGGTAAGCGAAACGCTTACCGACCTTCGCTATGCGAGTTTCGCCCATTGGGGCCATCGGTAAGCGATCACATTAGCGATCGCGGAAACTGCATCGCTATGCAATTTCGTCGTTATACGGTGCGCTCGTTAAGCGAGGCACCACTGTAATGCAAAAATAAAAAGCCCATTGAAACCCTTTCAATGCATTCCAATGGGCTGGAAACTCACTGTCCAGCGAAGATCCTCCATAGGGCGGCCATTTTCGGTGCCTGTCTTGCAAGGAATCCGTCCCAGAAAACAGTGGGGAGCCATTTTATTTACCCGGCGGCCATTTTGAAACCGCCGATCAGCTGTAGAAAAATTGTCGTTTTCCAAAGAATTGGTTCCTGAAGCAGGGAACCGATCATCGCAAAGCGAAACAAGCCCATTTAGATCAGCGTTTTGTGATCGCAAAAGCAATCGCAAAAAGGTCATCGTAATGCGGTTTTGTCGAAATGTGGGGCAGTCATAATGCGAGGCAACACTGTACGTAGTATCCTTGTGCCACACAGGTGGCTGGAGATATTTTGCAAAGAATTGGTTCCTGAAGCAGGGAACCGATCATCGCAAAGTGAAACAAGCCCATTTAGATCAGCATTTTGTGATCGCAAAAGCAATCACAAAAATGTCATCGTAATGCGGTTTTGTCGTAATGCGGGCCAGTCATAATGCAAGGCACCACTGTACGTAGTATCCTTGTGCCACACAGGTGGCTGGAGATATTTTGCCACCTGAGGCAGAACCACAAATGGTGGCCATAAACCCCTCCTTTCCTCATTCATCAGTCACCGTTCAAGGCTATAGACAAGCTGTTTTTCTCTCACCTGAGTATTTTTTTAAAAAAGAAATAAAAGTACTTGTTCTCCCTTTCTGACAATCAAAATATCAACAAGAACAAATAGCTGTTGAGATAGCTGCCTCACCTTGCCGAAGGACAGGGCTGGTCTTGATGGGAGCAGGTCGTTCCCTTGGGAAAGCCTCCTACCAGGGAGTCACCGGTCCTGCTCTTGTGAACTGACCAATTCTGCCCCAGATGTTGTCTCTTTTTACAGTGGAGTCCTGTATGTCTCTGCCGTCAGAGGGAGCTGCTCTCTTTCCACCCTTTGCCTTGTTATGTATGCAGTGTGCTATCTGTCTAATTTAAAGGGAAAACTGTGTCTCTCTTGATTTCACCTTAGATGTTTCTCAGTAGATGTGATTAGCGGTTTTGACTTGTCGTCTCAACAGAGGTTGCTGGGGATGAGATGCCCCCTTTGTAGGAAAAAAAAGTTTAAAAAAACCCAAAATTTCCAAGGGACTAGCTGTCACCAACCCCCTGCGCCCTCGTACCCAACTGTGGGAAGCTGTGATGAGTAACACGGTCATGAAGTAAAACTGTGCTCTGCCTTGCCTGGTGTTTGTGTGTGTGTGACAAATGTTACTTGATCCATCACTTCAGGCTTTTGCCATTTCCTCCAATAAATGATCTAAACTCTATGATATTGTCTAGCACTGAATATTGTGACAGGTGCATTCCCCTCCTCTTCACCGGATATACGATTAAGTTTTTTTAAAATTAAAAGAGAAATATGTTTTCTAGTCCTGATGTTGTCAGTGATCCCCAAGCTTGGGTTCCTAGATGTTCTTCAACAGCAACGGCCAGAAATCCTGGCCAGCATAGCTAGCAGTTCAAGAACAACTGGGGCCCCAAGTCTGAGAACCACTGGTCT